AGTTTTCCTTAGAAGCATACTGTACTATAGAGAAAAGGGTAGGAGAAAGGGGAAAGTTATAAAGTGGTTGAGAATGAAAACTACAACATAACATCACAAAGAGTAAAACTTTGTAATATTGATATCGCAAGAATTATATTTTTACAATTAATTCCTTCCTTAGAATATAAGAATTTAATATAATATAATAAATAGAAATTAAGAAATTCTCATATTACTTTCATATTTATATGGATAATAATTAAAGTTAGAGATAGTTTTTTTAATTATTAAAATATATGTATAGATAAATATACACTATGTATCGTAAACAGTTTTTATTTTTATATTAAAAAATAGAAAAATTTTATGTAATATCTCATCTCGAATTATTCTCTATGTATTCTCTATATATTCTCTTTACAATTGAGACATTCTTTATGATAATTATTAATAAATAATTAATTGAAAAGAATTTCTCAACAAAATATATATGAAAAAATTGTTTGAAATTCTAGCTTTGAAAAACGAGCTTCTAAAATGCAGTAATCTTTAATAAAAAAATAGTAATTAATTTTCAATGTTATATTTCGTATATAATAGAAGATATCAGGAACCGTATAATCAAAATTAGTGGCATGCTTTCTCTATCCTTCTCGAGCAATATTCTTCTTTTCTATCACGAATACCTCCTTGCATATTCTGTTTTTCTATTAATAAGTTGGAGCTTCCAGTATCCATTCACGAGATGGTGCCACGAATAAATAAAATTTGTTGTTAAATTTATTCCATTTATAAGAAAAAAGCAGCAGCAATTTTATATTTATAAATACTTGTTTGAGAAATATTGTAAATGAACTAATATGCAAATATTTTGAAATGAAAAACTTGCAGTGTTCAGAAAATTATATTAATAATAAAAATACACAAGTACTTGTATGCTAAAAATTAGATGGAATTACGTAACTATATAAACCATAATTTCATAAAAATTTTTATTGATTTTAATATGTTATATTTATAATGATTTTTTAAAAAAGTTTTGGGTTAAATAATAAAATATAATTAGAATTTATAATATTTTATTTATGTGTAATACTGCGCAATTGTTTTTTTAAATTCTTCCGCGAGGCACGCATCATTAACAACTTTATTTAAAAGTATTATACATTGTATCTAAATTAATTTACATGCCTATTTTTTTACAGATTCTATTAGAATCCTCCTTTTACAATAAAATAGTATGACAAACATACATGTATATGTATTCAGTCAATACACGCGAGTATTCCGTGGCAATAAAATCATATTAAATGCTATTACACATTAATAAATCCACGGAGATAAATTTAAATTTTACATTAATCTAATTCAAGTACTCAACAAAAAATTATCTAAATGAATGTAAATAGATGAATAATAAAATATTTTTTGTCCATTCTGAAAATCTCTGCAATTTAATTGAATAAATTGCAGATATTTCCAAGAAGTCCATTGAAGTTAATTTTGAAATAATTATAAACATGTTTAAAAACGTTTTACTTCACATGTGTTATTTCTACGAGTATTTGGCAGTTTATACCCAATAAATTTTGCATCATCTATTTTGCTAATGTTAAAACTTTTTTGCAAATTTCATCAGTATATTCGCTACATTTTGCAGATCCACCAAGATCTCCTGTTAAATGTTTACCTTCTTTAATAGTTTCATAAGCACAAGTTTCTATAATTTTTGCGTGTTTATTTAATCCCATATATTTAAGCATCATTACAGCAGAAAGTAATAATGCTGTAGGATTTGCTTTATCTTGGCCTGCTATATCTGGAGCAGTTCCGTGCACCTATTTTAAAATAAAATTATTATTAAATCACGCACTATTGCATTTGCAAAAATATTTATAAAAAAATTTTTTAAAAACATACAGATTCAAACAGTGCACCATTCAAACCAATATTTCCACTTGGTGTAAGTCCAAGTCCTCCAACAAGTCCAGCACACATATCAGATAAGATATCACCATATAAATTAGGCATTACAAGTACATCATATTGACTAGGATCTTGAACCATATTTAAACACACTGTATCCAAATATCTTTCTTCAAATTTAATAGATTGAAATTTTTGTGCAGCTTCTCTACAGCATCTTAAAAATAAACCATCTGACATTCTCATTATATTTGCTTTGTGTACAGCTGTCACCTATAAAATATATTAATAGTTATATAAGATAACTTAATCTTATTATTATTTTTAAATAAATAAATTATTAACCTTTTTTCTATTATTATCTTGAGCATATTGAAAAGCAAATTCTGCTACTCGACTGGAAGCTTCCTCTGTAATTAATTTAATTGACTGTACAACTCCTTCTACAATTTCATGTTCTATACCAGAGTATTCTCCCTCTGTATTTTCTCTAATAGTAACAACATCAACATTGTCATATAATGTCTTGTAACCTTCTAAGGAACGACATGGTCGAACATTAGCATATAAATTAAATTCTCTAAAAAAAAAATTATTCATTGTATAATATAAAATAAGTGAATATTTTAATATTTCTTAAATCTTTATACAAAGTAATCTAAATTTAAATAATGATACATTTACAATAATATTCATGATTATATAATAATTTAAATAAGTTAAGATAGATATCTTAAGAATAAGAAAATATGTGAAGAAATTATGTATAATTAAAGAAGAATCTTAATTATACAAAGATAAAAAGTAAACCTACTTTCTTAGTGCAAGATTTAAAGATCTGTGTCCTTTTCCTACTGGTGTCATTAATGGTCCTTTCAAACCAATTTTATTTCTATTAACTGAATCAATAGCAGCTTGTGGAATACCAAATTTTCCATCTGGACCTTTTACTGGTGTTACATCAACAGATTCCCATTCTATTGGTACCTAATGTTAAAGATAATATAAAAATTATAAATATTATACATTTATACTTATATTATACTTGCATATTATAAGAAATAGAAAATATTTTAATAAAATCTTATTTAATGTTAAATACATTCATTTTCATTATTATTATTATATCAAAAAAAATACATAGACACATATATTAATGTACATATAAATACTAAAAGTTGAGTAACAGTGTTATGCAATACATAATATATGAATGATACTATTAAAGTTTTTTCATTCATGCTGATAAATAATACATTGTTGCTTTTTTTAATATTAACGCTATTTTATACATTATCATTAAACATAAAAATAATTTAATAATTTGATGTATTTAATTAAAGTTTACACATAATATACATTACATATTATAAAAAAAATATATAAAATAAAAAACATACCTTAACTACAATAAGAGCAGACTGAATTAGCCTACAATTGGATCAACCTGTATAAGAGTAAGATTAAAATAAACTCCTTAAGGTTAGTAGTAGGACACATGGGGTCACCTTGTAAGGTTCAAACAAATAATGCAAAAATACAAACAAATACACAATACTCTTATATTATATAAAAATATAACAGAAATACTGAACATGCTATGAACATTTCTATTCAACATTTCTATTCTATTTCTATAGAACATGCATATTACATAAAAATATCGTGCATAACAAAAATTATTAACTTATAAAATTATATGTAAAAACCAGTTTACCTTAGCAGCATCAAAAATTTTTTGAACAGCAATAGAAATTTCAGGCCCGATGCCATCTCCGGGAATAAGTGTACATTTATGAACTTTACTACTGTAAAAACGGACGCAGCCAATTTTCGGAACCTGTTAATCAAATATCGATATTAATAGTTATTCATAAAAATGTGCACAAAATAATATTATACTTAATAAAAAATATAATATAAAGGTGATATTAGAAAAACAATATAATGTTAAAGAAAGACAAAAAAAAAAAAAGATAAATGATATATGGATAGATAATATCATTACTAATACATTAGAACTCAGCAGAAAGATATATAACCAATCTGTGAAGAATTCTAACCTTGTCATCTGGGAAGAGGTAAAATTACATTCACAACATGCTTGTTTCTGAGATTTCTTGATTGACAGGTGTTACTTACTGCATTTCGTATCCACTGCGCTGCCATTCTCACTGTAAATTTTACAATAAAAACACGAACTTCCACCACCCAAAGTAGTGCGCACGTCGAACCAACACCAAAAACGAGGAATGAATCGCACTTGTGATTGGTTCCCGCGAAACAATGTCTTCTGCTATACAGAAACGAAACCACAGATTAAATATTCAATAGATCTATCATCCAATGTATTTTTCTGTCATATAATTCGAAGACTACAAACTCTAGTCACAGACAAGATAATCAAATAGACATACCATCTTATACATTTATCATTCAATGCATTTTCATGTCACAATCTAAACTATATTATATGAAAATATAATAGATGATAGTTCTATTTTATATCTAATTTATAATTGAATTTCTAATTTTTTATATGATTAATACAGAATATAAAACATGGAATACAAAATTTTGTAAAATAGAGATTATTCTATTTTGCGAGGAAATATAATGGATGATATATAGGATATGACGAATGGCTTCATATGTACCGACATTTTGATTTATAAAATAATGACGAATGAAAAAAATTTTTTTATAATAATATCATTGTTTTTTAAATTTTTATTATTATTTTCTAAAATAAATTAATAAAATAAAAATATTAAGAAATTTTTTCAATATTTTTGTAATATTTTTATATTTGAAAAAAAATTTAAGTATCGAATTTGATCAAGAAAACTTTGATTGGTTACAAAATTGAATTTTAATTTTTCCGAATCCAATAATTTGAATCTGAATATTTTTAATCAAATCATTTTTAAGATTATAATATAATTCTATAGAATATATAAAAAGATTTTATTTAAATATAACAGAAATAATTTATAATTGTAATATAACAATGTAATAATTATCGAAATGTTTAACTGAATTTTCGAATTTTGTATGATTCTTTTTAAATAAATACCTATTTTTGAATACAGTAGTTTCCGGTGTGGTTTAGCATTTCCTTGATCGGCCATTTTATAAGACGCTTCGTGTCGCGTATGTTTGCATGCTCGGTATCTTTTACTCTTTTTAATTTCGAACTTCAATATAAGTTCCTTGATTGATTTAGTTCATTCAGTGAAAGAATTCTCAAGGATGATTAAACAAGAGGAGTAAGTATAAAATTTGTATTTATAATAATTTATCTTCAAGTTCCTTGTCGGCACGAAGAATCATGTTCAATTAAACCGACGCTAATACATTTTCCGTATAACAGTAGCATAAAATTTTTGAAAAAGTATTATTTTGATTACATATTTTTAACTAAAGTTTATGTAAATCATAAATAAAAAATTCTATTCGAGTAAAATCTATTCGTATATTAATAAAAAACTATAAAAATTTTTTTTATACATATTCTACATAATCATATTAAACATTAGGGGTCAAGTGCAGAATAATGATGAAAGAGACCGAAGTAGAGAACGTGATCGTAATAGAAGACAAGATCGACAAAATCGTATAAATTCTACAAGTCGTGATCGTAGTAGGGAACGAAACGATCGTGGTGGTCGAAAAGCTTCAGATCGACGAATCTATGTATCAAACATTCCCTATGATTTCCGTTGGCAAGATCTAAAGGACTTATTCCGCACAGAAGTTGGAAAAGTTGCTCATGTAGAACTTTTTACTGATGAAAATGATAAACCAAGAGGTTGTGGTATTGTCGAGTTTGAAGATTCAGATTCAGTAAAAATTGCTGTAGAAAAAATGCACCGATATGATATCAAAGGAAGAAAGCTGGTCGTCAAAGAGGTAGTTAGTATATTGTTATTTTCTCAACTTCCTTATATCCTATTATTATCATAAATTATTATCATATTTTGTGTTAGGAATATATTTTATAATATTTATTTATTTTAGGATTTTGATGTTGAACGAGATAAATATGGTCGCTTGGCAACAGCTCGTAACAATGAAAGGGTTCGTGATGATAGATTTAGAGATCCACCAAGACCACAAGGTGGAGGGCGTCAGAATATGAATGCTCCTGCTGGTGGTGGTGGTGGTGGTGGTG